GCCCTCCGTGTCCTCGTGGATGCATTTCCAGTGAATGCTGAGCTGTGCAGCTGACCTGAGAGGTGCACACATGGGGTGGTCCCACCTGGACCACTTCTCTAAAGCGCCTGCATCTCCGGGGCCTTCTGGGGCAGGTCATCAAGTCTGTGCACACACAAGTTCTCCGCCCTTCTCTCTGTGTGCTTTGTGTGTTTTGTACACCTACGACCCCGTGGTTTGGTTTCTGGCTGCTCCCGGACTGTCCTTGACTGCACAGATTCAAAGCAGCCCTGGGGTGTCACCCAGGAGGGAGTGGCACTCCTGCCTTCCTCGTGATGGGTCATAAGTGGGTTTTAAATGTGGACGGTGCCAGTTCGTGTCTAGCCTCTGGGTTTTAAGACCAGGGCTGGTTTCCTCAGCTGTGCCCCTCCATCTGTGCTGTCATGTGTCATAAGTGGCATGTTGTTGAGATGACCGGGTGGACTCGAACAAGACACAGGTCTGGCTGGAGGTGTTTCTGAAACCTTGCTGCCAGGGCCCATCAGCCTGTCCCCAATGCCCCAGGTCACAGTCTTCTTAACATCAAAGCACCATTCATCAGAAAAGGGCTGTGCCTGCAGGGCCATGTCCATGGCAGTCTTGGTGAGGTGTGCCTGCCCACACCTCCCGTGGCTCCTGGTCTGGGGTCTGAGAGCGACACCTGAGCAGGTTGCAGCCTCGCCTGAAGGCGGCTTCCGATCAGGCAGCTTTGTTGGAAGGCTCGTCGTGTGGTTCCAGTGCAGAGTCCTCCGCTTGTCCGTGCGCGTAGCTGGCTGTGCAGGAACTGATGGGAAACCAGAGGAACCGCTCTTTTCTGGAAGAGGCTTTGCAGTGAGGTTTTGAGCAACTCTGGCTCCACTCCCACTTGCACATCCAGACAGCTGCCCGGGTTGTTAGGCAGACGTTTGCGTCTCACTGGTCGTTGGAGCCAAAGGAGCTGAGCCATACTTGGGCTTCTGTTGAAGGGGACCTAGCACAGTCCCCGGGAGACCCCAGTCCCTTGCAGACCTTTTGGGGGGCCTTTGCTTCTCCCAGTGTCTTCCTGCGGGCTTTCATACTGGGTGGGGAGGGGGAGCCCTGCGCTTCCCCTGCTGCTCTCCTGGGGCCCCCTTAGGGCCCGTGAAAGGAAGGCAGCGTTTCCCCTCCTGGCTTTTGACACCAGGGGATTTTTCTCTAAGGACAACACTCCCCAGCCGGATCTTGAGTGGGCTGAGGGTGAGCCAGGTCCACCCTGCGACCTGTTCTTCCCCTCATTCTCTGCTGAGGGAGGTTGCTGAGCTCGGCTTGCCATGGCTGGCTCTGTTGGTCTGTTCTGGGTCCTGGGCGGGTCCTCCCTGCACCCACATGATGCAGAGGGTTTGGCCTGATGGGAACTGCTGACTGAGGAGGCAGGTGCCCCCCCCACACACACACACTTATTTCTGAGCACTTCTGTGGCTCCGGCTCCTGGCATGGAAGTGGTTGGGAGTGAAAAGTGCAGATGGCCCTGGGGGGCGGTCTGGACATGGGCAGGACTGGAAAATGGCGAGGGGGAGGGGAGAAGACAGTTGCCCTCTCTGGGCCCCTGGCTTGCACTGTGGTGGGGACTGGCCACATTGTCATTTAAACGCCACTCACGTTAAAAGGGAGATGAAATGAAATTCACTTCATTTTTCAGAGGTCTCCAAATAGCCATGAAGAATTAATTTTTTTGTTTTTGCCACCAGTTAATGTCACCCCTCCTGTGGCTTGAGGTGGGTGCACAGCCCTGTGGGAGGCTTGCAGGCTCTGCCAGCTGGGGACTGGAGTGCCGTGGAGAAGTGGAAGCCCAGGACACGCCTGTGCCTCAGGCAGACCTTGCGGACCCCACGCTGGCCACAGCACAGGAATGCCCTGGCCTGTGGTCCTCTTGGAACCCAGGGTGACATTGTGTGCACACGCCTGTGCCCACTGCTGTTGGGAAGTGTTGCGAGAACGCGGCTGCCCGCGCCCCACCGGGCCTCCTGTCTATCCTTGGGCTCCTAGCTGTGTGCCCAGGTTGTCTGTTCAGCAAGCTGGGACTGAGTGGTTGGGCAGGCCGTTTGCCTTGGTGTTTCCCCTCAGATCCTGCTGGTGGCCTCCAGGAGGGCAGCCCTTCCTATGTCCAGGGAGTCCCTGTGTGCAGGGCAGTCGCTGTGTCCAGAGAGTCCCTGTGTCCTGGTGGTCCCTGTGTCCAGGTGATCCCTGTGTCCAGGGTGGTTCCTGTGTTCTGGTGGTCCCTGTGTCCAGGGTGGCCCCTGTGTCCAGGGTGGTTCTTGTGACCAGGGCGGTCCCTGTGTCCAGAGAGACCCTGTGTCCTGGCGGCCCCTGTGACCAGGGTGGTCCCTGTGTCCTGGCGGTCCCTGTGTCCTGGTGGCCCCTGTGTCCTGGCGGCCCCTGTGTCCTGGTGGTCCCTGTGTCCAGGGTGGTCCCTGTGTCCTGGCGGTCCCTGTGTCCTGGTGGCCCCTGTGTCCTGGCGGCCCTTCTAGCCCCGTGGTCCCTGTGTCCAGGGTGGCCCCTGTGTCCAGGGTGGTTCTTGTGACCAGGGCGGTCCCTGTGTCCAGAGAGTCCCT